AAAGTATGGGCCAATCACATTGGAAACAGTTATTCCGCACCACACCGTCACATGAAGAGAAAGGGTTTTCTTTCGAATAAAACAAGTTTCAATATCCTAGCGTTAATAGTTTTTGTTTTCTTAGCAAATCAAAAGGGTCAGTTACTTCTGGGACACCCTGTATATTGATTTTGTGTTCACTAGACGCGGCACAAAACTGACAAACAACAAAGAGTTAGAGTACCTACGTTCCACCTCTGAATCCTTTTAACATTGTGAAATTTGCATTATTGCAGTTTAGTTGACGCACAGATGTCTGCGGTAGATTCAGAGCGGCTGATATTTCGATGTTTCTAATAAGATGGAAAAAAACCGTCTTTAAAGTCACTTTAAGGGAAAAAGGCTTTTGCTCTTGAGCTCCTTATTTATATCCAAAAATCGCAAAAGAGTTAAACTTTAACAATAATACATAAGACACATGTAGAGTTAACATCAGCGATATGTGTGAGTCTGTGTCAGTATCAGTTTATTTAAGGGATATATAGGTAGATTGCCTTTAAGTTCCTTATATGTAAATGTGTGTCGTGGTAACAGAAAAATGGTATCTCAGTTTGTTGGCGAAACCAATTGTCCTGAGCCATGAGGTGATACATAATTTTTTTTAAATTGAGCAAACAGGTTCGGCTGATGCGATCGCTGCGCAAGTTATCTAATAGCGCTCCAACAGCGTCTTCGATCGAAATGTTTGACTAAAATGAGGCGCCGAACCTCACAAGTAGCTTTGATGTTTAGTAGATAATCCGTTATAAAATAACTACTGGCGTTAATGAATTATCAAAATATTTGATCCCAGGGGGACAAAGACCGCTCGTACACCGGTCAGGCATTGACAGTGCGGCCGTCAAGATCGACGTTATTCACCACGTGCTTTCACGGGCTGAAGGCCAGTGCGGTGAATTTGGCGTGATTTAGTTTTAAGTGATAGTGGACAGGTGAGGCATCTCCCTGCCCTATGTGGCCCCTCAGATAGTCACCTTATGAAGAAGAGAAGGCCCTCGCCCTTGAGCTCTCTTTTCATGTCCAGCAACCGCAGAAAGTTTAACTCTGACAATAGCACATAAGACAAGTGTAGTGTTAACATTAGCGATATATGTGAGCCAGTCGCAGACTGCGCCTACTGACACAATGTTCATTATATGTACCACAGTTTCTCAGCAAATGAGAATACAGTTTGCGTTTAAGCGTCTCAACAGTTTCTGAAATGACCACCTCGTCAGGGAGTCCGTTCCACGCTCCAATGAGACCCTCGGCTAGAAGGCGTTCCGTCGAACGTCCATATGGGCCGGCTTCCTCTGCAGCTTAAAGGGATGACCCCGCAGATAATCGATCAAGTTGGCACGCGTTAGTCGGGGGTTTCGAAGCACGTCGGCTATT